TCTTCCTGCTAAAAGGCCATCCTTGCCTACCACAAAATAAACTTGATGACCGACCTCTTGTCCGGAGAACAGCAGCCGTCTGGGGAGGGAACCAGGAGCAGTACAATCCCCTACTTTTAGCTGGACCGCTCACCATCACAGCTTAGCCCCAGAGGTTCCCGCCTGAGATAACTGCCCTACTAACTTTTTTTTTTTTTCCCAGCAATTGCCAAATATTACTACATTGGGGGTGGGGAGCGGGGCAGTGATTTGAGATAGGGTTTCTCTATGTAGCCCTGGCTGCCCTGGAACTCGATCTACGTGTATCTCAGGCTAGCCTCAAACTCAGATCCATCTGCCTCTGCCTCCTGAGTGCTGGGATTAAAGGCGTGTGCTACCATTGCCAGCTACCCTACAAACTTTATTTTTAATTTTTTTTTTCATTTTTACATACTAACCCCTGTTCCCCCGCCCCCTCCTTAACCCACTAACTTTTAAACACTACTCCAGGGGCTGGAAAAACAGCTCAGCAGTTAAGAGCACTTGCTACTCTGATCCACAGAGCCTGATGCAGCTCACAAGCTTTTGTAACCCCAGCTCCTGCTGAGTGAACACCCTCATCTGACCTCCACAGGCACCCATACTCACGAAGCACCTAAATGCTTAAAATTTAAAACAAAACAAAAATGTTTAATATGGCACCATCCTCCATGGGGCACAGCTAAAAGGATAAACAGAAAAGTCAAGTGTGGTAGCCTGACCCGAAATCCCGGCACTTGGGAGGCTGAGACAGAAAGATTGTGAATTACAAGCCAGTTTAGGCAACATAGCCAGATTCTGTCTTTAAAAAAGATTGGGGGCGGGAGGGAAAGATAGCTCAGCAGTTAAGAGCACTGGCTGGTCTTGCAGAAGATTCAATCCCCAGCTGTCCCTAACTCCAGTTCCATTGAACCTAGCGCCCCCTTCTGGCCTCAGCCGGCACTGCATGTATGTGGCACACAGACATCCAGGTAGGCAAAATACCACGAACATATAATGAAATTTAAAAGAAACAAGAGCCTGGCAGTGGTGGCTCACACCTTTAATCCCAGCACTCAGGAGGCAGAGGCAGGTGGATCTCTGAGTTCAAGGCCAGCCTGATCTACAAAGCGAGTTCCAGGACAGCCAGAGCTACACAGAGAAACCCTGTCTCGAAAAACCAAAAAAAAAAAAAAAAAAAGAAGAAGAAAAGAAAGGAAAAAGAAAGAAAGAAAGAAAAGAAACAAGAGCCAGATTTCCTTGGACAATCGTTTCTTGGGCAGGAGGTTCAACTTTGCAAGCTCTTCAGTGCCCACCTCGGCTGTTTGTCTTGGAACCCCCCTCCACACCCCAGCCTTCAGGGACTAGCCTCGGGGGCCCTATTTCTGTGAAGTTCAGTTTTATGAGGTAGAACATTCCTTTTAATAAAGGAGATCGAGAATGTCTGTTGTGGTCTCCCACTGTCGTATGGGCTGGTCTTGAATTTACCATCGCCCCAGCCAGCCTCTTGAGAGCTGGGGTTGACAGAACACAGCACGGGGTGGTCTCGGGTTTGGAGTTCCCCCGAGTTCAAAGCCAGAGGTCCTTGGAGCTTGATTCGGGAGTCTAAGAAGGTGCGGAGAGCTCTGCGGCCGGGGACAGCCTGGGCTACTGTGGCGGTACCCCCAGGGCAGACGGCAGCCGTCCTACGGCTTGAAGGAATAGGAGATGACGTCACTGCACCGAAGCAGGGCTTCAGCCTGCACGCCCAGGGGAGTCTGCAGCTGGGACACGTAGAAGTTGGCTACGTCCAGGTCCGTGGCTCCGAACTGCGCAGTCACATGCACGCCTTCATGCAGCGTGAAGCTCACAGGGTGCCCCACCATGGCCAGGAGGCTCCGGAGGTAGCGCTCTCGGAGAGTGGCTCGTGCCCGCTGCTCCCGCAACTCGGGGGGGTCTTGACTCTGACCTTCCTCGGCTTCGGGGGCCTTTGGCCTCGGGAGGGTCCTGCGTGCATCAGGGGCGAAGCCTCGGCTGAAGCCGTCGGGGCCCCGAGGGAGGCGCAGGACGGGCACAGGCACAGGAATGGTCAGCGGGGTCTGCATGGCCCAGGCTAAGGGAGAATGCAGAGGGGTTAAAGCCACACACAGCTCCAATAGAGAACAGGCCAGGTCTCACGGCCACACTGCAGCTCTCCCGTTCAAAACCAGTGCCAACCCCCACCCCCACCCCAGGGAGGGGACTTTGTCTGTTGTGGTTAGATGGTTTTAGAGACAGTGTCTCCCTGTGTAGCTCAGGCTGACCCTGAACATACAGGCACCCACCCTATCTCCTAGGTGCTGGACAGGTGTGTGACACCATATGGGACTCCTTTGCCCTTTTTTTTTTTTGGTCTTTTTTTTTTTCTTTGTGAGACAGGGTCCCTAGTGCACACTGACCTTGAACTCTGTGTAGCCAAGGATGACCTTGAACTTCTGACCCTCCTACCCCGACCTCCCACGTGCCAGGATTACAGGTTTGCTTCACCACATTCAGTTTCGGGCGTGCTGGGGATGGAAGTCAGGGCCTCCTGCATGACAGGCAAGCTCTCTGCCGACTGAACCGCATCCCCAGCCCCGCTTCAGTCTGCTTCTATCACAGCTTTATGTGATTCTGGGGATAAGTAGCTGCCATTAAGAAGAATCACTCTGAGATTCCAGCCTCTCCAGTCTAGCCTCACAGTCCTGCCAGCCAGATCCAGGATGATCCCGAGTAATAGTTACACACTGCAGCTACTGAGGGAAAGCAGCCTGGGCTTAAAGAAACCCTGTCAAAAAAGTTTTTAAGAGTTTGCAGTGTCTTGGGTTTTTGGTTTCTGAATGTATTTATTTGTGTGTCATGGTGCACATGTGAGGTCAGAGGAGGACATGGGTACCAAGGAGAGGACCACAGTGAAGCTCGCCAGCCTGGCGGTGAGCACCTTTACCCACTGAGCCATCTCGCTGCAGAAATGAGGCTAGATGTCACTTGGCCAGGACTGTCAGATGTCAGAGAAAGGCAGCCAGCAGGAGCTTTCTCCTCCGCCTTTCTGTCAACACAAAGTGGGCCCTGGACATTCTGGAGACAGCATGGGACTTGATTTAAGAAACAAAACTGACTTAATATTAACCCCAGCACTCAGGAGGCAGAGGCAGGTGGATGAGGCCAGCCTGGGCTACAGAATGAGTTCCAGGAAAGGTGCAATGCTACACAGAAAAACCCTGTCTCCAAAAACCAAAAAAAAAAAAAAAAAAAGGCAACAAAAAGATTTCAGGCCAGGCAGTGGTGGTGCATGCCTGTAATCCCAGCACTCGGGAGGCAGAGGCAGGTCGAGCTCTGTGAGTTCGAGGTCAGCCTGGTCTACAGAGCTAGTCCAGGACAGACTCCAAAGCTACAGAGAAACCCTGTCTCGAAAAACAAAAACAAAACAAAACAAAAAGATTTGAGAAAAGTGAGGAAGAGTACGTTCTATTGTCTACAAGGCAAGGACAGCTAGAATTACCCATCTTCCCTGCTGGCCCTTGATCCACAGGTTCCCTGCCCAGAGGTTAAAGTCCAAACCCATCCATCCCAATGCCTGGCTAATCTGTTAGCCCAAAGCCCGTGGCTTTGGTCAGTGAAGAGGCAACAGTTTCCCGGGCTTTCCTTGGGGCCTCGAGGAGAGCAGAGCTGGGCGTGGTGGCCAACACCTGTAATTCCAGCACTTGGGCAATGGAGACCGGGAACTGACCAAGGCCAGTCGCTGCTACAAACAGCCTGACTTACAAGGGAAGGGGACGGGGGATGGGGGCGGGGAAGGCTGGAGATACGGCTCAATTGGTCGAGTATTTGCACGGCAAGCATAAAGTGGAGTTCCATCGCCAGTTTAGCATAACTTGTTTGTGGTAAGCAGGCTTGTCATCCCCAGTACTTGGCAGGTGAAAGGTGGGGCGGAATTTTCAAAGTTATCCTGGGCCACACAGTGAGTTCAAGACCAGCCAGTCTCCTAGTCTCAAAAAAAAAGAAACCAAAGGGGAAAAAAGGTAAAGAGGAACGGGTCCTCTTGGAGGGCACTCGGTCCGCCTCACGTTATCAGGACAGTAACTGGCTGAGCTTCCAGGAGAGGAGTCAGGTCCGTGTTTGTCCACACACACCGTAAGATGACTGTCCACTCCCGTCCCCCACCCCGCCCGCGTCCCCCATGCAAATTCGACAAAGGGTGCCGTTTCGGAGAACCAGCAGCCGGAGGGCAGGAGCCGCTCTCCCCGGCGCCCGTGGGCAGGCCAGCTTCCTTTCCATTCCCGCCGGCCGCCAAGCGTCCTCCTTTTCACATTCTAAGCGCGTCCTCCCGCCCCAGGGCAGCCACCGCCCACCCCGCCCGTCGTCGGACCACAGTCCCCCGAAGGTCGTCCCCTCCCCGCAGCTCCAACCCCACCGCACGTGGCCGCCAGGGCGGACGGCCCGCTGCGCACTCACCCAGGTCGCCGCTGCAGGGGCCCCACTTCCGCCCGCGCCGCGGCCGCACAGGTCCCGGCAGGCACCTAGCCCGGAGCGCCTGGGTTCCGCCAGCGCAGTCGCCACACGGGTCCGGGCGGGCACCGAGCCCCGCGCGCCTGCGTTCCGCCCGCGCCGCCGCCGCTTCCCCCACGTGCTCGAGGGCCACTTGGGGGTCGCCGGAGCGGCGCTGAGCTCTGCCAGCCTGCGAGCTAGGGACGTCTTGGATGCCCACTTTAGGAAGCACGAAACTGAGCCTCAGAAAGTCGGGCACGGTGGCCCCCAGGCTTGGCATCCCCAGCGCTCTCAGGAGGTGCGGCAGGAGGATTGTCAAAGTTCCAGGCCTGACAGCCTGGGCTGCAGAGTTAAGGCCTTGTCTGAAAAAGGGAGAAGGAAAGGAAAGGAAAGGAAGGAGAAACGAGTAGTGCCTCACGGCTGTAATCTCAGCACTTGGGAGCCAGAGGCGGGAAGATTTCAAAAGTTCAAGATCAGTCTGGGCAAAAAAAAATAAATAAATACAGCAAGGGAGTGCCCCCCCCCAAAAAAAAAATGAAAGAAAGAAAAAAGAGAAGGAAAGAAAAGGAGAAGGTGGCAGCAAGTTCGGGCAGAAATGAAAAGGAAAAAAAGAAGCCAAGGCACAGAGACAAGCGATTTTCTCTCAGGCACTTGGAAAGTACCCCTATCCCCACCCCTCCCCTCTAGCAGGAAGCTGCCCCCACCCCATTATTCTCTCAGTCTTCACATACCAAGAAGAGGGTTTACAGTGTGCTGCAACTTGGATGGACAGAGGTCATTCATCCTTCAGCCCTTCCTGCAACCCAAGGTTACAAGGTGAGAAAAACTGCCAGGCGGTGGTGACACACGCCTTTAATCCCAGCACTTGGGAGGCAGAGGCAGACAGCTCTCTATGAATTCCAGGCCAGCCTGGCCTACAGAGTGAGATCCAGGACAGCCAGGGCTGTTACACAGAGAAAGCCTGTCTCAAAAAATAACTGAGGCCCTGCATGGGGCCATGTGAAAATGTGAGACCTCACTGATCAGCCCAGATAGAATTGGTTTTATGCCCAGAGTTCCACTTAGGCAGAGGGAGGACTGTGGCTTTCCCCTTACTGCCTTGTACACAGGTGCTCTGCAAAAATCTCTGGAAAGAGTGGTGCCCCCCACAGATTTGTTGACTGAATCAGGAAAGTAGAAGCTAGGTGCTGGGGTACGTCCCTGTCCTAGTTACCAGGGAGACCAAGGCAGAGGATTTCCAAACCAGACACAGAGAGTTCTATCTCGCTGAGAAAAAGCAATGAAAGAATGGTCGCTCTATTTAGGAACTGGACACTCCAATCTTGCTCTCTCAAAACCTGCATTCTCTTTTGTTTTGGGGGAGTAAAATAAGCTAAAGGTGAGTGAATAGATAGACAAACCAAGATTGCTGGGCAGTGGTGGCGCACACCTTTAATCCCAGCACACAGGAGGCAGAGACAGGTGGATCTGTGAGCTTGAGGCCAGCCTGGTCTACAGAGCGAGATCCAGGACTGTTACACAGAAAAACTCTTTCTCAAAAAAAATAAGTAAAATACATCAAGATCTTTCCAAGACTGGGGACAAGGCTCAGTTTGGCTTACTTAGCATGACAAGACCCTCGGTTCCATCCTTAGCATAAGAAAAAAAAGCTACAATTGTACCTGGTACTTGGTGAGGCTAAAGCAAACCGGTTTCAGGTTGAAGGCTAGTCTGTGCTCCAGAGCATGGCCCTGTTACCAAAGACAAAGGCTGAAGGACATGGGGCTGGGCATGTCATTCAGTGATAGAGCTGGGCCCTGGGTTCCGGTCTCTTATGTCCCCAGAACAGGAGACAATAAGGACAAGGGGTATAATGTTAGCAAGTTAAAAGGGTTTAAAACTCACTGATCAAATTGGGCATCCCAGAGGGAGGAGAATTGGTGTGAATTTGGGGCCAGCCTGGGAGAGAGGAAAAGAGGGAAAGAAGGGAGGGAGGGAAGGAAATGCCAGGCATGGTGGTGCACGCCTTTAATCCCAGCACTGGAGAGGCAGAGGCAGGTGGATCCCTGTGAGTTCCAGGCTAGCCTGGTCTACAGAGCAAATCTTCGGACAGCCAGGGCTACATAGAGAAATCTTGTCTCAAAAACAAACAAACAAAAAACCAACAACAGCAAACCCACCCTAACCCTCACGCCTC